CCTTGTCAGAAATCAAGCATCAAATGTAATGAAACACTTTTTTTTTATGGTCTTAGTAACTTCCCATCACCACCGTATTACCTGCCCTTCCCCATGAGATGGGCGAGTTTAGGGTCCATGTGAGTGAGAAAGCATGCTGTTGGGAACATCATGCTGTTATACGACAAAGAGTACTGGGAAGACGGGACACCACGAGCGTCTCTCTCATTCTGTAATTACACCTAGGTAATTTGAGTTGCTACTCAGTAATATTCAGGTACAGGGTACACCATAATTGGAATGTTTACATCGTGGCAGCTATGATTGGCCTCCTTACCTTCAGGTACATTATTTTCTTTGAGCAGTTCCTTGTTTTGCTGTACTTAGGCTTTAGGTTTTATTCAGCTAAGGGTTTATCCCCGATACCTCATGAAGAGAGCCAGATTCAACTCCTGGTCCATCTTAAGGCAAGGGTGGGGTCTCAGAGGCCTGGTCCATCTTAAGGCAAGGGTGAGGTCTCAGAGGCCTGGTCCATCTTAAGGCAAGGGTGGGTCTCAGAGGCCTGGTCCATCTTAAGGCAAGGGTGGGTCTCAGAGGCCTGGTCCATCTTAAGGCAAGGGTGGGTCTCAGAGGCCTGGTCCATCTTAAGGCAAGGGTGGGTCTCAGAGGCCTGGTCCATCTTAAGGCAAGGGTGGGTCTCAGAGGCCTGGTCCATTTTAAGGCAAGGGTGGGTCTCAGAGGCCTGGTCCATCTTAAGGCAAGGGTGGGGTCTCAGAGGCCTGGTCCATCTTAAGGCAAGGGTGGGTCTCAGAGGCCTGGTCCATCTTAAGGCATGACTCAACTAGTAAAGTACTGTATGTAGCATATTTCTGGGAGCTAGTGAGGGGCTCCACCACAAGTGTGCATTTCATTACAGTCATTGCTTTATTGTTTTGATTTGCATTTTCATCCTCATTCTCATCAGTATCATCATCATCATCACTATTATTACTGTTTTATTTTATGCCATTGTGAATCCCCATGCACAGTACAAAGTTCATAACTGTACAGTAACTAATTGGATGATTCAGTAATTTGTCTGTAGCTGTTGATCTGCTTCCACACACATTTGAAATGACTTTTAATACCTTTTCAATACAGAGTTTAGCTGCTTTGTAGTGTATATTACTATATCAGAAGGATAATTTTGTCTGTAGCCAAGAAAAATGTTGGGTACAGTATATAGTCAAGACGTGTTAGTGTACCATGTGTATGTCCTCACATTACTGATAATGGTGCTACTTTGCACAATGCCGTACTTATTGGTTGTCCCTGAACAACAAGTCTGCCCTCCCGTACCCCCCCTTCCCTGGCAGAGTGTAGATCAAGTGCCTATGTCTTGCTGCTTTCCCTCTGCTGTCTGCTTGACGTGTCCAAGATTGCTCAAGCAGGGTACTCGTTTTCTTTGGTCTGCATAATGCCCCTGTTAGGGAGCATTCTCTGCTTTATTTTTCCCACCTGTATCATTCTTGTCTTGAATGTTTATTTGTACAAGAATTAATTTTGTTTGCATTTCTTTGGCACTTTTCTGTCAAATTTCTATGGAAATCACATTAGTGATTCAGATTAGTAATGAAGGCTTGGGTTTATTGTTAGCTAGCATAGTGAGAATGTAAATGATGAATAGAGTAAATGTATATCATGTGACAAATTTACTGAAGACACTAGTTAGTTTTCAGATTATGCTGTGTTGCCTCGGCTTAAGAAGTCTTAAAATATTGGCTCTTGCTCATTGTTTTATGTACCTGCTGATATTGAGTCCTGATAAAGTCAATTTTCTTTATGGAATAATAGTACTCCTCCCCACTTATTGAATCAATGTATCATTCACAATAACTTTAGTTAATTGCAAGAAGAATTATAAGACACAGGCCACTGCTAGATTTTATAGAATTGTAATAAAAAGTTACTGTACCTTCAATTAGCAAAAATCATTTTTATAAAATTATCAAGATGTATTTTGCAAAAGCATTTTAATATTTAAATTGCGTGACATTATTTCCACTTGTATAGCTAGCAGTAAGCGCCTGCCTCGCATATTTCTCCAGTACAGTTTATGGCGGACTCCGTGAACTAGTGAAGACTGGTATATGGGTCACATATTACCTACCTCATTATTCAGTAGTGTATTTTTTTAGTAGCAAGTCTTTGCCCTCTGTAATTTGTTAAGTTTTTATTACTTTCAAACCAGAGCTTCATCAACACCAGATAAGCAACTTAAAACATCTTATCTTTCATATGACTTAAAAGGCACAACATATTTAAAAAAATAATGCTCCATAATTTATATAAATTTTCATAATAGCAGGCTTAAATTTTCAGTGTGGTGAAAGATATGGTAGTGAAGTATCTTTCAGTGAATGCTATTTTAGTGTTTTAAATAGCATGACTTGAATTGTGGATACTATGCATATTAAAACTTTAAATATCTTTGTTATTGTTCAAAGGTTGCTGGAACACTTTTTAAGTCTCAGTGCATAATGTCATTGGAGAGTCATATTTGTAATGTAGACTGGTCAAAGTTTCTGATAGTTTTATTGATAACGTGAAACTTTTAGTTGTACAGTAACTTCCATTGGGTGAGTCTGGTTTGAAATTGACCATGACCAAATGATCATGGATCAACCCATATTTGAATCATAAAATGTGTGTAACTACATTTACTACCCTAACTTGGGCAGGCAAGCCTATCATATTGTATGGAAAGAGATAGCCACATGATCCCAGGAACTGTAGGTGCTGATGCTGTTGTAAGGTTGGACTGCGGTGACGTGGGGGTTCGCTGGCAGGAATGCGAGCCACCTTGTGTCCCAGTGTACAAACATTGTCTATAGTAAGGCAAGAGAGACTCTGCTGGTACAGTACACACAAAGTTTTTCACAGTGTTTAATTACAAAATCAAATTATCATCATCTAAAGGGAATAAAAAAAGGCATAAATGTGTATTCTGTTTCAGCATAGTTTCTTGTGCAGACTATTACATATTTCCTGGGTAGTTATGTCCATTGGGCTCTCAAGATATGTACAGACTTGTACAAGCATTCTTCTTACTCCCTTAATCTTATCTATAATGCAAGTATTTTAGAATGTGTTCAGCATATTATTGTGGAAATAAATTAGTATTTGCTACTACATACACACATTTGTTTTTTCTCCCCTGTTGGCTAGTACCGAATTGATGTTCTGTTATTACTTAGTGTTATAGAACATTAATTCATTGATGTGTCCCAGAATAATACAGTATTTTAGTTTGTGAATCGTTGCACTGTATATCATTTTTGTGTTATTTAAATATTTTATTTTAAGTTTTACAAGTCGGCTATACTAATAATAATTCACAATTACATAAATTACTTACGGTAAAAGCACTATAAAGATGTGACAGTAACGGTAAAAATATTTCCGATTAAAATTGTTAATGCCACATTTCTGAAAAACTATTATTATAGCATTTTTATATGGATATGGTGTTTAAATGTATATTGTATTTAGTGATATATTGTATTGGCATTTATTTTGTACTGTACAATGTTTATTTAGCTAAAATAGTGATATCACTGAATAATACAATCTTGTACACAAGGTACCTGTAAAACTTAAGAAAATGTTTTTCTTGCTGAACTTGCAATGATATATGGTATAGTACAAAATTTAATTACAAATTAATCTTGAGCTTTTCATATGATAGAGACTTATAGAATACTCTACATCATTATCTATTCATAGGTGTGATATAACTTCAGATGTATTAATTTTGGTACAGTACTTTCTAGCAATTAGAAAATGATAATGTTATCACAAAGGTGATAGTCATTGATGAAAATAGTGTGTACATGCAAGATTTGAGTCATGAGGCTTTCCAATCTTTCATATTGTCCATGGAAAATTTATTTTCACATACTGTATTTGTATATTACTGTACAGTATATTTAACCAGCTTGAATGGTCCCAAAGCCATAAATTATTTAAAAACTCTGACTCTGACCTGGGTTCTTAACCACTTCACTAGCGATCGTCTATAAGGATTGGTCAAGTCATGGAGCTTAAGTGATCCCAAAAATACTTGTGGTGCAATCTTGCCTTTTTCTCATTTATCTTGATATCTTTACCACCCACTTGATTAAAACGGGAACACGGTAATGGCAAAGTGTATGCATATAATGTGGGATAAACCTTTCGTATAATCTATAAGAGAATGTATGCAAAGTTGGAGGCCACACAGTTGGGGTTAACCTTGCCCAAATTGGCAGAGGGAATGGTCTAAGGTACAGGATGAACATAGGCTGAACAGTCACCAGAATTCCAAAAGGAACAGCATACTAGGGTCAAATTCAGACCCCCCACAATGATTTTTGGCACTGTGCCAGCTACACAGCTAAATTTTTTCAATACCTTTTTTTTTTAAAGTGGCAAGCCATTATGACTATATACCACTGGGAAGAGGTCAGGATAAGGATTTTGGGATGGGACGGGGGGAAGGAATGGTGCCCAACCACTTGGACGGTCGGGGATTGAACGCCGACCTGCATGAAGCGAGACCGTCGGTATACCATCCAGTCCAAGTGGTTGGGTATTAGTAAGAAGCAACTACAATATTAGTTATTTTTTCTTCATATATATACAGTATTTAACTCCATTAAGCTCCTCTTACTGGAGATCACTCATAAGACAGTTGATAGTGATAGATGGACAAATAGAATGGATGGATGTGTAGATTAATAAATGGATATATAGATGGACAGATGGGAGAGACAGACCCGGGCAACACTGGGTACCTCCCTAGTACTTTAAAATGTAACCTTGTATTTCTATATTTTTCTTTTACAACTACTGGGAGGGACCCTTCAGTGGCTCCCCAAACTTAACTCTGATATTACTATGCCTTATTAGCCTCCAGGCCACTGTAGACCCATTATGAGGGAGGAACAAATACGAACCAAACAGCTGCACAACACACAGGCAAAATAGACTGAATAAAGAAAATAAGGTACTGCCAGAAACAAGTCGAATGATGGTTTCTGCATAATAAAATACGCTAAGCTTTATACGGTCACCCACCACCAGATGTCGGCTCCTGTCAACACGAAGTTCCAGCCAGCCTACCACTTCACTTCTGCCCGTTTTCGGACGTTCATTCCTGTTGATCTGCCATGTAGCCCGCTTGGCTCAGGGTCCTTTCGCTCACAGGTGTGTTCCATTTGTTGGTACTTTTACTTTGGTTTTGGCAAAACTGCCCGTGTGTCTGTGGCTGCAATGTGGAACCAAGATTTAATTTACCCAAATTTAACAGAATGACCCCCTGTTCCATATTGTCCGAACTGCATCATTCCACTTATCGTTGTGCATCTCCTTGTAGAACATCAATTTTCTAGATGATCATTCTTACTTTCCTAACATCCCTCAAAGTCATTTGTCCCCTTGATATCGCTCGCCTCCATTCCTTTTGTTCTCGTGTTAAGACACTATATTAAGCGCCTTTGTAATATCTAGCACGACACATGGTGCTACATTGCCTTGTTGGCTTAAATACCTTCTTTTAATAATTACTTTTTGCTGCTAATTAAATTGCTGGCAGCATAACAGCTAATACCAAATACTTTATGCACAACTTTGACTTAATATCTATAGTTTTGGCAAGTTTCTAAGGTCTTGGCTAGGCTTCACACTTAAGTCACCTACAACTCTCAATCACTTAGCGCTCACTGTTACCCTTTCCCCTCAAGAAAAATTTAGGATATAAAATATTTCTAAAGAATGTTAGATACGAGAACCAACTGCCGATTTATTTCACCGAATATGCCGCTACAGAAAAATACTTGGATAAACGTTTAACAAAAGGAACCAATTAATTCTAAAATGACATGAAAACAATAGTTTACTAGAAGTCTATTTTCATTTAAAATTTACATCCATTATAATACGTTCTTCCCACATATGATACCCATATACACAATTACTATGATATTGGATAAAAATATATAATTGCATTACTATAGGTTTCAGCAGTAATGTACATAACCAGGAAGAGATGGAAGGTTTGGCAAAGTCTGCTCACAAGTACTCTCTAACTTGGTTAACTTTCCTGCCTATAATAAAATAATTTGCAAAAAATTTATAACTATTTTAATATGAAAGACATTGATGCTGAAGCCGCATTCATTTTCATTACTTTTGCACGATATTTAAAAGAATTTGATTATTGGATTCTGAAATTTATGTAACACTGAAATGAACAATGATAAGAGACCACTCCTGTACACGCCAACAAGCAGCTGTATGAATCAACAAACACTTATATGCCGATTCCTTAAACCACATTCCTCGTACCCCGCAGCCTGGTCGACGACCGGGCCCCGGAAACACTTCAAGGTAACTACCATCCATCTTTGCTTTATTATCCACTATAAATGGGTTAAATTAACTCCATGGATTCCAAGGATCATTAACAAATTCCATTTAATGGCACTTTCAAATTCCCCAAAAAGAATTATATACTGTAACATGAAGCAGAGGTGGTATAATGTTGGTTAAAGAAAAATGGCTTTGTAAAGCACACTGCAATCATTAACAGTCCCTGAATATTAATGAGTCAGACGGGAACACACCTGTTACAATGCTATATTATTTATATATTGGATCACAGAGGCAGAAAAACACTATTGTCAACTATTGCTTCTCCAGCTCAAAAATGGCTATTAGAAAAGTTATAATCTTTGAAAGGATTTTCAAGCAGAATGCTCCACTTTCAGCTAGAGCCATTAAAAGATTAAAATTATCTTAAATACTTCCACAAAACAAATTTACTTTTGAATTCATAGTCAACATACAATACTTATTAACATACAATACTTATTATCTAATAAAGTCAACTTTTTTCCAATGGAAAAAAAAAAAATCCAAAAGAAATGTCCAAAGTAAATCATTAATCTGCCTTGATTAAGTTCTAAGTTCAATTTTAACTTTTGATAAAGTCCTCGATATGACCCAACACACTGCAAAATATCTGCTCTTGTGACTGGGAAGCTTTTACCATATTGCAGAGGTATGGAGAGCAGCAGGCTGAGGGAAGATAGCACTAATTATAATCACCCACATGATTACTTCCATCATTTATGAACTCCACAATGCAAGCATAGTTGTCTGTTTAAGCTTAGCAAACGTTTGTAAACCATTTTCAGGGGCCCCTCCATGAATGCTCGGAGAAAAAGCCTGTACCAAATATGGGTGGCCTTATTAACACCCCTTGTTATAAATACCCTTTTGAATCTCCATCTTCCCTTGACCTACTAAATAGTAACTTGATAAAAGAAAGCTCATTGGGTCAGGCATGACTTATGATGCAGAAGTTAGTTTGCTATGGATGATCGATGTCTTCCGTACAGGGACGGACTCTGGCGTGGGAATGGCTTCACCAGTGGGCTGTGCTAGGAGTGGTGGCATTCTTGATTTGTTACTGGCAGACTTTTGCTTAGCCATCTGATAATCTCCAGAGTCAAAGTATTTTTGCTGAAAATAATTAAAAATACAGTAAACATGTAAAAAAAAAAAAATGATTACACATCAAAAATCCATATACATAGTATTAAACATTATTTTTATATTAAAATAATTAAAAAATTATTCAAACAAAAAGGAAGCTATCAACCCTCAACACTTTTCCAATCCCTGTTTGCAACTTTTCATTTGTCAACTATTTTAAGTCGGATGCACCTCGATGTATTATGTATACAGAGCACCGCTTGGTTTCCGAACCCCTTGGGACGAGACCCATCAGTTATCATTTAAGTTCATAAACGAGAAATGGAGGTAAAAAATAAATTGAAAATGTGAAAAAATAATGAAGAACCCTAGGGAAAAAATCGACAGGTTCATAGCGTAAATGCGACCGTATTTTGTTTGTACTCACCAATAAGTGAAGTCCTGATCCGTTTATGCTGATGATCGACGTTGATGAAGTACAGTTATTTACATGGAAGAGGTGGTGGTGGATGTTGATGGTGTTAGAGTGACTGAAGTTGTTGGGTTGACTGGGTCAACATGTGGTAAGTCAGGTGCAGGTGATGAAATGTGAGCTTTCTTGGAAGCCATTGAGAAAGACTCTTTAATTGACATTTGTTTCATTCCCTTTGATCTTGTTTTTAAAAACTTCATATACAAATTGAACAGACTCATCATGTCCTTAGTGTCAAACTCGCTGTAACTAGTGTCCATAAATGCCAGAATGTCTTCAAAATGTTGCTGAATTTTTTCCATATTACATTTTTTCTTTAACGTTTCTTCATCCTCTTCCTCTCCATCTTCTTCATTGCATTCTTCTGGCTTTTTTGCTGCACATCCCTCAAAGAGATAACATCCAGAAAATAAGTGAAGCAATACAGACAACTCCAAGGTTCACAGAAAACAAGGTACTAAAACAGCCAACTGTCTCTGCAAATGATTTAAATCCATATGATTCGCTCAAATCTAGCTTAAACCCACTTAGTGTAATTACCTAAGTAATTACCTAAGTGTAGTTACAGGATGAGAGCTACGCTTGTGGTGTCCCGTCTTCCCAGCACTCTTTGTCATATAACGCTTTGAAACTACTGACGGTCTTGGCCTCCACCACCTTCTCACTTAACTTGTTCCAACCGTCTACCACTATTTGCGAAGGTGAATTTTCTTATATTTCTTCAGCATCTGTGTTTAGCTAGTTTAAATCTATGACCTCTAAAAAAAAATTGCCAGTGTGAATGGATGCCCACAGGTGACAACCTGGGAGCTCTAGGCTCCTGCACCAGCGACGAGTCAAGTTGATAAACCACGAACCAACACACTTAGTAGGGTGGGGGGAGGAAATCAAGGAGCCACTGAGGTCTTGCCAGTAGTAGTAGTAGTTTCATTACATTCAACCCTGGTTTTCTGAAAGAGCCTCTGGGGGCAACCTGAAGCTATATAAAGAGAGAAGCTGGAAAATACGGGACTTATCAGGGAGAAGGTGATACCTCTAAAACAGAGCCTTAAGAAAACTAACCTGGACTGAAGGGCCAACTATGAACAAAAGGGAGGGCTCCGCTTTTTGCTGTACCGAAGTACCTAGAATTTATCACTATTAAATGATATTATTTTCTGTTGCAATCTCAATCTTATTAATTACTTGTAGTTTTTCCAATGTCTTCAACATAAGTAATTTTCATGCTGATTTTTGTATCGTCTGTAGATGACGATAAAAAGCAGTGACTTCGCACCATCTTTTGCAGATGTTGATCTTCGTATTTTTGTCTATTTTCTATGAAAATACGAAAAAGCAGTGGTGCAAGGACTGTGCCCTGAGGTACAGAGCTTTTCACTGTGCCTGGACTATTTTATTTGATTAATTGTTACTCTGTGTTCTGTTTGACAGAAAATTTAATATGCATCATCCTACTTACCCACTATTCCTATTGACCTTATTTTGTGGGCTACATCTCCATGGTTGCATTTATTACATGCCTTTGCAAAGTCCATGTATACCACATCTGCATTTTGTTTTTCCTCTAATGCCCCAGTGAAGCAGGCCCCGTGGCACAGCGGTAAAGCACCTGACCAGCGCTTCACGAGCGCTTTAGCCTGGGTTCGAATCCTGGCCGGGGAGGACTGATCGGATGCCAATCCTTAACTGTACCAAGCAAAACATCCAAGATAACCTCCTCTACAGATGGAAATAATGACCAAGAAGAGTTGAAGGGCACCCATGGATCAATGTTGACAAGCTCAGAAGTCTGTAATGAAGACCCCTGGGGCAAAGCAGGGCATTAATAATCAAGGATCTTAACGAAAGACATCCCTAGAGAAGATGGCAGTTCGGATCTCCGACAGGAAGCAATGGCTCAACTGTCTTCAGTGTCGAAGATTAAGGGGACGATCCCTAGAGAAGCCCAGGCTACACTCATAATGAACACAGCCCTTGTCTCAAAAGCCTCAGCCTTCCTGGAACCTGGAGGATGATAAAGTGATCTGCACAACGAAGCCTGGATAATGGAAGGAGCAGCAGCAAAAAAGGCACTAGCAGAAACACCAGCTGCTCCAACCCCAAAATGAAACGGACCGACACCAGGAAACCTACCCGAGCATGGAGCCACACACACAAATGAACCTGAAGTGGAAGCCACTGGTCGAGCGTCATCACTACAAAAACAAAGAAACTAAACCAAAAGTTGCAGGCTTGAACAAAAATAGCAAACCTGCGAACCCCAAAATTGCAGACCGCAGGACAGATTTAATAACTACTCCACAGGCAGCACAAGGAGAGAGCAGAACTGATTATCAGTTTCCAATGAAACTGACAGACCATCCTCAAACTCTCAAGCAGCGAGTTTGACAGGTCAACCCATCAAGAGCTGCACTGCAGACTATTGTAGAGTTACCAGGGCCTGAAGGAATAACTGTGCACGACACCCAGGCACTAGGATGCTCGCAGGAAGAACTGACACCAAATGCAACTTGCAGGATAAGCTCAGCTATGAAGGCGCTAGCAGTGTGCCATATGAACAAAACCTCAAGACCTGGGATGTTGTGTGGAAGAAGCCTGGGCACAGGGTCAACCTGGACATCACCTGATACCTTATCTAGTATAATATAAGAGTATGTAACAAACAGGGCATAAACGTTCTAATGAAGCAAATATATTATGCCTGCAAAGCTTAGCACTAGTATTCTTAGTAATCTAATCATTCACAGCCATCCTGCCATGGTTGGCAAAGTAGCAGCTAGGAATGAAGAAATCACATGACAGTACTGGGAAGATAGGACAACACAAGCGTATCTCTCATCCTGCAACTACACTTAGGTAAGTACTTGGGTAAATACCCCAAAACAATAAACCACAAATGCCTCCAACCACAGGCCTTGCAGAGGAGTCAATGACTTGTGCACTATGCAGGACAAGGCACACTGCACAGTATCCTAGCTTCTCGAGGACACACTCCCGAACACACCAAAGAAGGCACTGATGGTGCAAGGGGCAACACTAAACACTTAGGGAAGGGTTACTCCAAACACATGCAGCTTGTAGTGAATATGATATCAAGTCCGTGCAATAAGTGAGGCTTGTAAGCACGTATACCTGAAGCAAATGCTGAAGGTTAGGAACGTCACCCAATCAAATGGTCCTCACAGGACAGTCCAAAATAATGGCCAACACTATCTGGAAACGAAGTGGAACTCACTATGGCCCTAGCAACTCAAAAAGGCATCACTGCTCAGAAATCAGTGATTTCTGATTTGGCTCCATTGTTGACCTGGAGCTCCTGGGTGCCACCTATTAGCAGCCACTTGCACAAAGGGTTTGAGGTAGTGTTGAATGAATTATTTGAATTAATTGTTAGTAGTCATTTGGCTGCTTTGGTTTCTATGAACCTTGCAGTTGTTCGTGTTGCTTTGCTAACTTTCTAGATATTTTCTTGACGAGGCTAATTATTACAATCCTCTGCTTCCTATGCCTCTATGAGGAGGGCTAGGTTCTGGTTCCCAGTTGGCCATACAGGACTCCGATGGCCGATGTGACTCAGTAAAAGCAAGTCATCTCGGTGAGATGGCTTTAGGGAACCACCAGAGGCTCCTCATGGAAATGAAAATGCTCGTTTCTGTGAGATTCCGGTTTTCAGTATTGGGATTATATTCACATTAAGGCTTTTTTCCTTATCATTTCTTGACCAACAGTTATTCTCTCATGGTGTTTCCTACAAGTCTTCTATTTCCTATTTTTGTTATCTTATACTTATTTGGATAGAATTCTTAAGAGTCGTTTATCTCCCATCTGAAAATTGTCAAGGTCTTCCTCCAGCCGTTTTTACTCGTTAGCTTCGCATCAAATATCGATACCTGCAAATATCAATACAGTATGTACAATTTCACCGAGGGACCTCCCATCCTTGAGGTGCTTCCGGGGCTTAGTGTCCCCGCGGCCCGGTCGTCGACCAGGCCTCCTAAATAGGCCTCCCATACTTTTACCTCTTCTCCAGCTTGACAGTTGTTGATTAGGACCCATTTTTTCTGTCCTTCAGATACTGTACTATATTACCCTAATAGAGTACATTAGGGTAATAGTGTTTTGTGTGTTTTTCTAGCCACCTCATCACTGCTTGTCACTAACTTATGCCTTAGTTATTTATGAAGTGCTATAAAAGGATTTCTGGCAGTCCATTCATCATTCTGTCAATGTACTTTGGCAATCCAGTCATAGATCTGGATAAAGTTAATCGGGCACAATTTTTCCTCACCTGAAGTCATGTTACCAGCAGTCTTTACCAAATTGTTCTGCCACATTTTCTTTCAATTTATGTTTACAATTTCATCTGCATTCATGTGCCTAATTTTAATACTCCAAAACAGCATCTCCAATGGGACGCTGTTTTTGCCAAGTAGAAACTCTCATTCAACAATGCACAATATGTAAAGGCAGTCTCCAGATAACGCAAGGAAAACCGCAAGGAAAAAATTAGCATTGGATTACCTAATAGGGATATGTAATTACTGGCAATAAATTAATTATACAAGAGTGATAACAATATGTTGAAAATACTTTAATATAATATACTTTTGCATGGACGGTTTATTACTTACCCCTTTGGTAAGCCGCTTTTGTAAAAATGCAGAATGGCCAGCCATTGGCCGACCAACGCTTGGGTACTTAGAGCGAAGTTTGGCCTCCTCTGCAGCCTCAACACCTGCGGCTGTCATGGCTGGTGTGATAAACTGCAATTAAATGAAAACCTATTAGTAAATTTAACACCAGTTGCCACTTCTTATCCAAACTGCATTTACCAAATTCTTATGAAATCTCCAGAATTATTCCTACCAATATTTTGCTATCATACCTGCAGGCAATATACTGACCACATTGATACTTGCTACTTTTTTTTTTTTAAGAATATACTAATCTCATTCTGGTCAATTTATTGTAAATAATGAATAATATTTTGAGTTAGATGTTGGTAAGTCTGTATTTAACTCTTGGACTTGGGGAAAAAATTTAAGAAAGCTTCTTGTATGATGGTAAGGAAATTAGGACGATGATGAATACCGGAGCTAACAGTTGAAAAATGAGAAGGGAACTATCAGGAGAAAGCATCAGGCCATTACGACTATACAGTACATCACTTGGAAGGGGTCAGGATAAGGATTTGGGATGGAATGGGTGCCCAACCACTTAGACGGTCGGGGATTGAACGCCGACGAAAAAGTGCGCACCCAGTTCATTCATGATCAACACCAGATCTGCCACAACAGAACCGTGGCGATGAAGGACAGGTGATATGCCTGAAACAAATTTACCTGTACTCCTAGGGATTTTCTTCCAGATTTGAGGGAGGGGGGGGAGTTGTCAACCGTAATGGAGACAAAATTTCACGTTTAGCTGTAAGGATAGTTATGGGTCAGTCTACAGCTTTCCAAAATAAAAATTGAATCGGGCATCTGTTGGCATTTTTTTCTTCCGGGCTGCACACTTCCATAATACAGCCCGAGCACAGTCCAAACTCCACCAGGAAACACATTTCCATTTGCCATGGAAGACATAGCTAACAACGGAGTGCAGGACAGCATCTAATAAGGTGCTGTGAAAAAGAGGGCAAATCAAGGGGAAAGCAGATTAAAACAGAGCAGACAGATCAATAAAAGGTAATAGTAAAAAGTAATAGTGTCCCAGCCAGAGAGGACAACAGTGTCCCAGGCAATGGGAGGACAGTATCCCAGCCAGGGGGGACAAGTGTCCCAGCCAGGGGGGACAAGTGTCCCAGCCAGCAGGGACAAGTGTCCCAGCCAGGGGGGACAAGTGTCCCAGCCAGGGGGGACAAGTGTCCCAGCCAGGGGGGACAAGTGTCCCAGCCAGGGGGGACAAGTGTCCCAGCCAGGGGGGACAAGTGTCCCAGCCAGAGGGACAAAAGTATCCCAGCCAGGTGTTTGTTTACATCCATACTGACGTTCTGGGAACCTTACCTCCTTCTTCTTCTCCTCCTCGGGTTCTACGGGCTTCTCCTCGACCTTCTCGAGGTGAGCAGCTTCAGGAGGTTGTTGCGTGTGGTCCATGATTGTGAGGTTGTGAGGGGGAGCCGTGAGGTGGTGTGAGGGGGGGATGTAATATAAGCGGGGGTCGAACTGGGGGGGGAACTCGCTCTCTCTCTCTCAGCCACCTATAATCTATACATCAATATTTATCTCTCTTCACCTCTCCTCTCATATTCTACTATATATTTCGTACTATAATATTATATGAGTTGTATTTCAAGGTTATTTTGTGAATAAAATGGTATGGTTTGGAAATTTGGTGTTTCACTTGATCAATATGCGTTGCGGTCATATAGATTAAAATACAAATTTATTTACTACATCTATCTTATTTCTAATATTATAATAAATTATCAGAGTTTTTGGCACTCCTATAAATTACAAATTAATGATATTCATCTGATTTAGCTCAATACATTTTCAACATTTTATTCAACGTTTCATTCACCAATAATAAAATAATAGGTATAATTTCAACATGCGCCAACAAAAATATATTTAATTATAGTTAAATCAGATGAAAAGATAGTCATATAAGCCGTTATTATATATATTTATAATGCGAAGAGGAGTGGCGGGAGAACAGCTGACTGCCTCCAAGATGGCTCGTCCCCTCTATAAGGCGCTCGTGAATATCACCCATTTTCCACTTATATTCCCACCTTATACCCTCCCCAACCACTTGGGATGGACGGTAGAACGCCGGTCTCGCTTCATGCAGGTCGGCGTTCAATCCCCAGCCGTCTAGAAGCGATTGGAGGGGCACCATTCCTTTCCTTCTGTCCAGTCCCAAATTTCTGACGCCTTCCCAGTGCTATATAGTCGTGGTGGCTTGGCGCTTTCCCCTTGATAGTTCCCTTCCCTGTAGGTGGTAGTGGGTCCCTTACTCATCCTGTGGGTGGTAATGGGTCCCTTACTCATCCTGTGGGTGGTAGTGGGTCCCTTACTCATCCTGTGGGTGGTAGTGGGTCCCTTACTCATCCTGTGGGTGGTAGTGGGTCCCTTACTCATCCTGTGGGTGGTAGTGGGTCCCTTACTCATCCTGTGGGTGGTAGTGGGTCCCTTACTCATCCTGTGGGTGGTAATGGGTCCCTGACTCATCCTGTGGGTGGTAGTGGGCCCCTTACTCATCCTGTGGGTGGTAGTGGGTCCCTTACCCCTGTGGGTGGTAGTGGGTCCCTTACTCGTCCTGTGGGTGGTAGTCCTGTCCTGGGTGGTAGTGGGTCCCTTACTCGTCCTGTGGGTGGTAGTGGGTCCCATACCCATCCTGTGGGTGGTAGTGGGTCCCTTACCCATCCTGTGGGTGGTAGTGGGTCCCTTACTCATCCTGTGGGTGGTAGTGGGTCCCATACCCATCCTGTGGGTGGTAGTGGGTCCCATACCCATCCTGTGGGTGGTAGTGGGCCCCATACCCATCCTGTGGGTGGTAGTGGGCCCCATACCCATCCTGTGGGTGGTAGTGGGCCCCATACCCATCCTGTGGGTGGTAGTGGGCCCCCTACCCATCCTGTGGGTGGTAGTGGACCCCCCATACCCATCCTGTGGGTGGTAGTGGACCCCATACCCATCCTGTGGGTGGTAGTGGACCCCCCATACCCATCCTGTGGGTGGTAGTGGACCCCCCATACCCATCCTGTGGGTGGTAGTGGGTCCCTTACCCATCCTGTGGGTGGTAGTGGGTCCCTTACTCGTCCTGTGGGTGGTAGTGGGCCCCCTACCCATCCTGTGGGTGGTAGTGGACCCCCCATACCTCCTGTGGGTGGTAGTGGACCCCATACCCATCCTGTGGGTGGTAGTGGGTCCCTTACCCATCCTGTGGGTGGTAGTGGGTCCCTTACTCGTCCTGTGGGTGGTAGTGGGTCCCATACCCATCCTGTGGGTGGTAGTGGACCCCCCATACCCATCCTGTGGGTGGTAGTGGGTCCCATACCCATCCTGTGGGTGGTAGTGGACCCCATACCTATCCTGTGGGTGGTAGTGGACCCCCCATACCCATCCTGTGGGTGGTAGTGGACCCCCCATACCCATCCTGTGGGTGGTAGTGGACCCCATACCCATCCTGTGGGTGGTAGTGGGTCCCTTACCCATCCTGTGGGTGGTAATGGGTCCCTTACTTGTCCTGTGGGTGGTAGTAGGTCCCATACCCATCCTGTGGGTGGTAGTGGGCCCCTTACCCATCCTGTGGGTGGTAGTGGGCCCCTTACCCATCCTGTGGGTGGTAGTGGGCCCCTTACCCATCCTGTGGGCAGTAGTGGGCCCCTTACCCATCCTGTGGGTGGTAGTGGGCCCCTTACCCATCCTGTGGGCAGTAGTGGGCCCCTTACCCATCCTGTGGGTGGTAGTGGGCCCCCCATCCTGTGGGTGGTAGTGGGCCCCTTACCCATCCTGTGGGTGGTAGTGGGCCCCTTACCCATCCTGTGGGTGGTAGTGGGCCCCTTACCCATCCTGTGGGTGGTAGTGGGCCCCTTACCCATCCTGTGGGTGGTAGTGGGCCCCATACCCATCCCCACGGGCTGTAAAGTAGTGGAAAAGGTTACCGAGGCACATAATTGTCTCGGCAACCGAACCCAAAAATTAATTTAATTAAGCATGTTACCAGCTTGATAAATCTAGTTACAGCTTAATGTATATATAAAATATTTATAGCACAATTGGTTCAAGAACTCTACCACAGCAGTCTCTTAAGCAGAGCAATTTACATCTGTGGTGAGCCAGTTACATGTAATCTTAATTTATTTATTACGCACCCTTCCAGTGGGCGGCGGTGAAAGCTTATAGTTGTATTCGTGTGCTACGGGTGGTACGCAAACATTGAATATTTTGCTAAGTTATCTGGAAGTCCATCGTTGACCAGACCACACACTAGATTCACACACTTCCACTGTATTTTATATTTGCGCCCTCCTTCAGACTTTGAAAGTCTTCTGCTTGATGGGTTTCTGGGAGTTGTTCTACTCCCCAAGCTCGGCCCGAAGCCAGGCTTGACTTGTGAGAGTTTGGTCCACTAGGCTGTTGCTCAGAGCGGCTCGAGGCCAGGCTTGACTTGAGAGTTTGGTCCACCAGGCTGTTGCTCAGAGCGGCCCGAGGCCAGGCTTGACTTGTGACAGCTTGGTCCACCAGGCTGTTGGTCAGAGCGGCCCACAGGCCTACATACCCCATGCAGTAGTACCAAAAATCGACAATTATGCTTCCTTTAATAAATTATCACATGCACACCACTCGCCCATTTCCACAATTTATTTTAGACGCAGTGTTACATATTAAGGGGGCGTCAGATTCCAATTTGCCCTAAAAATGCAACACATGAAAACTCGTTCGATTTCAATCAAACTTTTTGACAAGTTCTATATGAAAAGTGTTTCATCTGGTCCAAGTTTCAGCATCGTAGCATAAATAGGAAGGGAGAAAAAAAATATTGAAGTAGTTGTGAAAATTATGCCAAAATGGTCAAAATCGATTATCAATCAAAAGTGTCAACTGAAATCATAGCTATGACTCTTTGCTATCACAATAGTATATATTAAACAAATATTATAATTAGTTTAATTAATTTTTTTTTTTTTTTTTTAATTATTTTTAATTTAATTAATTATTTATGACATAAACCAATTTTGGAGAAAATTGGTTTGTCAACCTCAGCCACAGATTTTAGAACCTTAGACTTCATTCATTTCTGTTTTTTTTCAATTGACACAAACGTTTACAAAACTGATTCATTTTTTATTCAATTTACATGAAACTTACACAGTATATGTGGAGGGCACGTCTCTACATTTGAGAGTTTTCATTTTTCTCTAAGTTCATTTATTGATTTTATAATAGCAATAAACATGCCATATTTGCAAAAAAAAATTTGGGAACTTTGAACATTTGTATTAGGAAAACTAAAGATGTTTTGGAAATTCTATATATCAAGGTCCTTTATTATATGCTAATGTGTCAGAAAAGTGTCACAGAATAATTATATCTGAAACGTGTGTTCTGAAGTGTGGACTTGAAAATGGGTAAAAAACGTTGAAAAAAAACAAAAACAAAAAATCTCCCTTTCTATTTACGCTGCAGTACTGAAACTTGGGACAATTAAAGCACTCTTCATATACAACTAGTCAAATAATATTGGTTAACATTGAACAACTTTGATTCTGACAATCTGTCGCCCCCTTAAGCTGAGTTAGGGGTACCCACAGCACAGGGAAATAATTCTTATTAAAAAATGCAGTCATATGACACATTAACATGTTATTTGTGCTGCTAGTGATATATAAGCTATGAACTGAACTGAATATTGCTTCCACAGGTCAGGAGTGCACGTTTGGCAGGAGCTCGTCAGTACAGCAGTAATGTACGTACTGTCACGTTAATACCAGGAGATGGTATTGGACCAGAGATCTCGGCAGCGGTGCAAAAGATTTTCTCTTCTGCAGAAGTTAGTACTGGACATCGTTTGTTTATGTTTTGGCAAGAAAAGGTTGTCATTTTCTACATTAAGATGCATGTTTTGTTATATTAAAATGTGAAGATATATCATTTGGCAACATGTTAGCATGGGTAATCAGGAACTGCAAAATAAGTTATGATGTTATGAATAAATATAATGATGAACAAAATGTTATGAACAAATAAAATGAGTTATGAACCTCAATGATTCAAATGTTTTATAAAGTATTTTCATAACTTACTTTTGATGCCAAGTTCAGTAAGTTAAATTCCAATGCTTTGATCTGTATTATGCTGCCACTTCAAGTGTATAATATGCTAAAAGGCATTTACAGTAAACTATACTCTCATATGATGATGTTACCCCATTTATATGCACTTCTAACCAATACCAGTATAATATCTAATTGGAAATCATTCTTTCATTCTGATACCTGTAATGGTCAGTGTTTATGCTGTAGCTTATCTTGAGGTTATCTTGGGAGGATTTCGGAGCTTAAGAGTCCCCCCGTGGCCTGTTCCTCGACCAGGCCTCCCTTTTGTTACCCCCAGGAAGCAGCCCGTAGCAGCTGTCTAACTCCCAGGTACCTGTTTACTGCTAGGTAACAGGGACATCAGGGTGGAAGAAACATTTTTCCCATTTGTCTCCGCCTCCACCGGGAATCGAACCCAGAACCTGAGGACAACGAATCCGAAGTGCTGTTCACTCAGCTGTCAGGCGCCCTGGTGAACGGGTGAATAGGGGCATTAGGGTGAAACTGACTATTTGTTTCCGCCTTCACTGCGGATCAAACCTGGAACCTCAGGACTACCGGAAGTGCTGTCCACTCAGCTGTCAGGCCCCTTACTCGGCTGTCAGCGTCCCTCTGGTCTCTTATTTATTTTTTCTCTATTGATAATCATTACCTTCTTTTGCCGAGTTTGAAATCTGGCAGCCATTTGTCTCGACACTCCTGTAGTTTACCAAGGTCTCTCCTCGGCACACTAAAAACGTCCTTGATCTTTATATATAGTGTACAATAATTATGTCCTTGTAGAATGTGTGTGATATGTACCCCATTTGTCTACTAATTGTGCTTACGGGGGGTTGAGCTTTGGCTCTTTGGTCCCGCCTCTCGACTGTGAATCAACTGGTGTACAGATTCTGGAGACTATTGGGCTCTATCAAATCTACAGACTGTGTATAGAGTCTGCCTCCACTACATCACTGGCAAATCTAAAATGCAAATGCATTCCACTTGTTAACTACTCTGACACTGAAAAAATTCTTTCTAATATGTCTGTACTCATTTGGGTACTATGTTTCCACCTGTGCCTCCTTGTTCGTGTTCTACCCATGCTAAATAGTTTCTTTGTTCACCAGGTATGAACTCCAGGCAGAAGTTGCATACTCCAAGATTGGTCTTATATAAGTGGTATACAAGGTCCTGAATGATTCCTTACACAAGTTTCTAAAGGCAGTTTTATGTTGGCCAATCTAGCATATGCCGCTGATGATATCCTATATCCTTTTGATGTGGGCTTCTGGGGACAGATACGGTGTGATATTAACCCCCAGATCCTCTCTTTTTTTTTTATTTGACTTGTAGGATTTCACCTCCCAGATGGTACCATGTGTTCAGCCTCCTGCTCCCTTTGTCTAATTTCATTACTTTACACTTTCCTGAGTTGAACTTTAGTAGCGATTTTCTAGACCATTCCTCCAGTTTGTCCAGGTCATCATGTAGTCTCTGTCTATCATCATCTGTCTTGATTCTTCTCATAATTTTTGCATCGTCAGCAAACATTGAGAGGAATGAGTCTATACCCTCTGGAAGATCATTTAGATATATCAGAAACAGGATGGGTCCAAGTACACAGCCTTGTGGGACTCTGCTGGTGGCATCTTACCACTCTGATGTCTCCTCTCTCACAGTTACTTGCTGTTTCCTGTTGTTTAAATACTCCCTTATTCACTGGAGCACCGTACCTTTTACTCCTGCTTGTTTCTCCAACTTTCGTAACAGCCTTTTATAGAGTAATGTCTCTGCCTACCCTTCTCTTTCTTGCCTAATTTTTGTCGTCTGGTCATAGAATTCTGTTAAGCCTATGAGGCTTGATTTACCATCCCTGAACCCATACTGGTTGTGTTACAAAGCTCTTTCCCTCCAGATGTTCTACGAGCCTTTTCCTCGCAATCTTCTCCATCAACTTGCATGGTATACAAGTTAGGGAAACTGGCCTGTAGTTTAGTGCCTCTTGCCTGTTACCCTTTTTGTTTTTTGGGACTACATTAGCTGTCTTCCAGCTTTCCGGTAGGTCTCCTGTTTCCAATGACCTGTTATACACCATAGAGAGTGGGACATTTAGTGCTTCTGCACCCTCTTTTAGTATCCATGGTGAGATTCTGTCAGGCCCAACAGCCTTTGTCACATTCAGGGGGCCAGTCGGCCGAGTGGACAGCACGCTGGACTTGTGATCCTGTGGTCCCGGCTTCAATCCCGGGCGCCGGCGAGAAACAATGGGCAGAGTTTCTTTCACCCTATGCCCCTGTTACCTAGCAGTAAAATAGGTACCTGGGTGTTAGTCAGCTGTCACAGGCTGCTTCCTGGGGGTGGAGGCCTGGTCGAGGACCGGGCCGCAGGGACACTAAAAAAAGCCCCAAAATCATCTCAAGATAACCTTCAGCTCCAACAGATTCCTTGTGACCTCATCACTGGTGAGCTCAAATTCCTCCGAGGTTGCTTGGTGTTCTTACCTGGCTGTCATGATCCCAACAAGGCCCAGTGGATCAGTATAACGTGTACAATCACTCCCTAAACAACAGATCAACTCTTGTAATTCGCAAAGGGAAGAGCAATAAAATCCAGGTTGCTAATTCACCAACAAGGGGGACTTCCCCCTCACCAGAAGGGTGCAGGATGGGGGGCCTGGGGAGGGACCGGAGGTGACCAGCTCCTGTGTTAGTCCTAGTCGGAAGCTGGGAAGTGGATAGATCATCGATTATCAGCATTAAGTTGGTTTTTGAATCTTTGAAGGGCGTTGCTGCCTAACCTTATTCTCTCCATATGCCTTTGTTTAATTGACTTGATTTTTGCGGGACTGTAACCTGCTATTTTGTACTATTTTCAGGTTCCAATTGCCTGGGAAGAGGTAGATGTAACACCTGTTAAAGGACCTGATGGTATGTTTGGGATCCCTCCTGCAGCCATTGATTCGGTTAACAGAAATGGAATTGGGTTGAAGGGACCGTTAATGACTCCCGTTGGTAAGGGTCATCGTTCCCTTAACTTGGCTATTCGCAAGGAATTTAATCTCTATGCTAATGTACGTCCGTGCCGAAGTGTCGAAGGTTACGAGACACTCTATAGAGATGTGGATGTTGTGACCATCCGGGAAAATACCGAGGGCGAATATTCTGGCATTGAGCATGAAATTGTTGATGGTGTAGTGCAGAGTATCAAATTGATCACCGAACCAGCGTCTCGTCGTGTAGCAGAGTATGCCTTTAAGTATGCTCGCAACAATGGAAGGTAAGCTTATTTCACCAACATTAATGATTCATATTTTTTAATAAACATTTGTTTATTGTCAGCCTTTAACAGTTGCCCACTGGAAGGATTAACCCTTCCATTTAACATTTAATCATTAACCATTTCCATTTAACCATTAACCCTTCCAGTGAGCAACTGCTAAATGCTGACATCCCCTTGGTGCACAACAAAATTGTTCTGAAAAAAACAACTATTGACGTTAACACTTTCGCCCGGGCATGACGCAGCATTGCGTCATCCGTTTACTGTCGGTAATGCCGGGGATGATGCAGCATTACATCATCCACTTTAAATAATTGCCAAAAATCAGGTTTTTATCCGATTTTTTGGGGACTGGTTTTAAAATGCGCGCCGATGTCTTCCCATTTCATTTTCTTTGTTGAGCCTCGTGGCCCTCAGGCGGCTTGGCACACGCCGTGGGCCCATTGTTTTCGCTCCACTGTTGTGACCAATGTCGCCTCCCCTCGCATCTCAAACGTGTGAACATTTCGGCTATTTTCCGTGGCTATATTTCTTACTGCGGCTTTAGAAACTATCTACGCTTACTCCACGATGGATAGTGATCATGAACAAGGCCCTTCCAGGAAGAAAATTGCGAAAGAAAGGCTTGAAAAGGGCGGGAATTGGGAGTGTAGCTGGAAGGCGTCTGGGCACTCACTCGCGGTTAACGCGTGGCCCGTCTTCAACTCGTCGGCGGTTGGAGCGTGACCAGGTTTTTTATTTTATATGCTAATGTTCCTCTAGAGAATTCTATTGCGAACCCATTGAGACCAAAATGAAAGACCTAGGACGAAAATTGAGGTGACCAGAGTGAAAATAGTGAAAACATTTTATCGCGTTTGCGCGCTCCTGGGTAACTCGTTTGCACTTTCTCTGTTTGCTGCGGGTAATTAGCCGGCTTTTGGAGTTTATATGCATTTAGTGCTGTAGAGAATTCTATTGCGAACACAATGATACAAAATTTAATCTCGTAGGACGAGAATTAAGGTGACAAAGTTGAAGAGAGTATACACTTTTCAGAATTTACGCGCGCTCCCGTGACACCCTGGGACCCATATCGCACAGTTGAGGGGTGGCGCGCGGGGTACGCCAAAGTGTTAATTAGCATCCAGTAAGCACAAATATTCCAAGTGAAAAGTTTCCATCTCTTGTGGTTTAGCCGTAGTGGCCCAGAGAAGTTGCATGTTGTGGGTAGAAATGAGGCGAGGTGCTGCACGGGAATAACTTTGTCTATTTTCAATGTTTCTTACTTTATCTATTTAGTTTTTCATGGATTGGAGTGTCAAAGGTGGTGTTCATTATGTATAACTTTTAAAATATAACTACAGTATGTATTGATACATGAGTAAATATATGGACAACATTTATTTTTACTAATATATGTGTGTGTGTGTGTATATTTATATATATATATATAAAATGTAATCAAATTAACGAAAGAATAGGGGTGGGAGAAGATATTAAAGTATTCAGGGAGTATCCACAAGGTCTTCTCTGGATACTCTGTATTATCTTCTTAAAGGCTATGGGTCCCTTGTAAAGTATACCACTTCAATTCCTTTTATGGTGAACCACACATCCCAGGTGTGGTTATCTTAAGGTTATCTTGAGATGATTTCGGGGCTTAGTGTCCCTGCGTCAGTATAATCACAGTTTATCATACTGATAAACCACTTCACCGATATCACACTACTTTATCTTTCTTTATCCACACTATTACGATAGCTTTCACACCAATACAATTTTCAATTAAATAATATCCATATGCCACTTAGCCTTCTGCTAAAAGAACTGCATTGTTAGCATGCATGAAATTAAACATATTCCAATTACTGTATTTTGTATTAGGCTTTTACAATAGGTTTATTCTCCTTAATTTTCAGGTCCAAGGTAACAGCAGTCCATAAAGCAAACATTATGCGAATGTCTGACGGACTCTTTCTGCGTTGTTGCCGGGAAGCAGCCGAGAGAAACCCTGACATCAAATTTGAAGAGAAATATTTGGACACAGTATGCCTGAATATGGTACAGGATCCTTCACAGTACGATGTCCTGGTCATGCCTAATTTATATGGGGATATCCTTTCTGACCTGTGTGCGGGATTAGTTGGTGGTTTAGGCCTGACTCCATCTGGCAATATTGGGGAGGATGGTGCAGTCTTTGAGTCTGTTCACGGCACAGCTCCTGATATTGCCGGTCAAGACAAAGCAAATCCAACGGCACTTTTGTTATCTGCAGTGATGATGCTGCGATTTATGGATTTGCATAAGTATGCTGCAACTATTGAACAAGCATGTTTTGACACGATAAAAGAGGGTAACTTCCGTACAGGTGATCTTGGAGGTAAAGCTAAGTGTTCAGAATTTACCGATGAAATTTGTCGCAAGATTCAGGAATTGGACAAGTAAGGCTATTATTTTTATTGATGTTGCAGCAGAAAGTAATGTAAAAGTATATAGAGCTATAGAACAAGAACTTAGATTATAGCATGATGTTTTACAACTAAAGTGTTGTAAAGTTATCACTGTAGTAAATATAAATTGTTGTGATATAGTAGTCCCGTGTTCATTTTTATTTAAGGTGTACAGTACTTTGTGTATTTTTGCGTTGGATTGAGTCAGCTCATTAATAAATAAGTAAACAAATGATCTCATCTTGTTAAAAGCACAAGATCTTGAATTTATTGGTGTTGCCAGTTAAATTGTGAAGTATTGTCTTAGTAAAACAAGTGGAAGGATGGTCTAGTGTGAGGCTCTGCTGTAATCATAGCGGTTGTCGCTAGAATGGTTAATACATAGCTTAAGAATTCCATTGACCAATTTCAAAATGTGTAAGTTGACTACCTAAATATGTTAAAATGTATATAGTTTTAAATAGAACTTGTTACATGTACAGAAATAAAGAATTTAAAATGATTTAATTTTAGTTTGCCTTGTTAAGACGGTAAAAAAAATGATAGTAAAGTTTGACTAGGGTGAGAGTCATAGAGAACACATTGTATTCCCTGTAAGGAAATGAGGTGATATATGGGCATGGACATTGTTGATCTGGTTGATGGGGTTCTGGGAGTTCTTCTACTCCCCAAGCCCGGCCCGAGGCCAGACTTGACTTGTGAGAGTTTGGTCCACCAGGCTGTTGCTTGGAGCGACCCGCAGGCCCACATACCCACCACAGCCCAGTTGGTCCGGCACTCCTTGAAGGAAACGATCTAGTTTCCTCTTGAAGATGTCCACGGTTGTATCATCCTTCACAATGGTCCAGCGAGCCTTGAGCAGAGTCCTGAATATATTGAGGAAAAATAGCATATGCCTATTCTAAAAATATTCTGATGGAGGCAAATTGAGCCAAAAATGCGTTAAGCATTCTCAATCTTTCACACGTTTTTCCGCATATTGTACAATATATAGACAAATAATTAAACTGGTAGAGTTGTCCAAATATGAAGCCCCTTTATGTTAGCTGATGCTCCTCTCAAACTATGGGCTCACCATAGCCCGTGCTATTTGGAAATTGTTCCAAGTAGCGAATCTTAAACAACAACATCCTCGTAAATTGGTTCATTTGCAACCCTCCATTATACTGATACTCTGCTCGTCTCTAATGATTTAATAAATATTTAAGAAAGGGGTTAGCCAAGCTCTTGTTTACATTCTTTAAGTATCCTTGCAAATATTTTGTCTGGCCCTGAAAACTTGTTTGATTTGATTTTTCAATTTGTTTAATAACCTTCCTGGAAACTACAGTCTAAAGTCCACTCTGTAGACTAAAGTCTACAGAGTGGACTTGTACTCCTCACTATCTGCATAGATGGTCAATAGCTTAATACGGGAAGTCAACAGATTAGCTTGGTAGTAGTGATGATGGTGAGTAGTGTGGTAGTGGTGTTGGTGAGTAGTGTGGTAGTGATGATGTTGGTGAGTAGTGTGGTAGTGATGTTGGTGAGTAGTGTGGTAGTGATGGTGTTGGTGAGTAGTGTGGTAGTGATGGTGTTGGTGAGTAGTGTGGTAGTGATGTTGGTGAGTAGTGTGGTAGTGATGATGGTGAATAGTAATTACCTAAGTGTAGTTACAGGATGAGAGCTACACTCGTGTCCCGTCTTCCCAGCACTCTTTGTCATATAACGCTTTGAAACTACTGACGGTCTTGGCCTCCACCACCTTCTCACCTAACTTGTTCTAACCGTCTACCACTCTGTTTGCGAAAATTAATTTTCTTATATTTCTTCGGTATCTGTGTTTAGCTAGTTTAAATCTATGACCTCTTGTTCTGGAAGTTCCAGGTCTCGGGAAATCCTCCCTATCGATTTTATCAATTCCCGTTACTATTTTGTACGTAGTGATTATATCGCCTCTTTTTCTTCTATCTTCTAGTTTTGGCATATTTAATTCCTCTAACCTCTTCTCATAGCTCTTGCCCTTTAGTTCTGGGAGCCACTAAGTAGCATGTCTTTGCACCTTTTCCAGTTTGTTGATGTGCTTCTTAAGATATGGGCACCACACAACTGCTGCATATTCTAACTTTGGCCTAGCAAAAGTCGTGAACAATTTCTTTAGTATATTGCCATCCATGTATTTAAAAGCAATTCTGAAGTTAGAAAGCGTGGCATAGGCTCCCCGCACAACGATCTTTATGTGGTCCTCAGGTGATAGTTTTCTATCTAGAACCACCCCTAGATCTCTTTCTTTATCAGAATTCTTTAAAGATTTCTCACATAATTTATACGTTGTGTGGGGTCTATGTTCTATTCCACATTCCATAACATGGCATTTATTAACATTAAATTCCATTTGCCAAGTGGTGCTCCATATACTTATTTTGTCCAGGTCATCTTGAAGGGCATGACAATCATCTAAGTTTCTTATCCTTCCTATTATCTTAGCATCATCAGCAAACATGTTCATATAATTTTGTATACCAACTGGTAGATCATTTATGTAGACAATAAACATCACTGGTGCAAGAACTGAACCCTGTGGTACTCCACTTGTGACATTTCTCCAGTCCAATACATTGCCTTTGATCACTGCCCCCATTTTTTTATGTCAGAAATTTTTTCATCCATGTCAGAAGCTTACCTGTCACCCTCCAATATTTTCCAGTTTCCAGAACAATCTCTTATGTGGAACTCTGTCGAAAGCTTTTTTAGGTCCAGATAGATGCAGTCAACCCAACCTTCTCTTTCCTGTAATATCTCTGTTGCTCGATCATAGAAACTGAGTAAATTCGATACACAGGCTCTTTCAGATCGAAAACCATACTGTCTGTTTGATATTATATCATTTCTCTCCAGATGTTCTACCCATTTAGTTTTATTTTTTCCAATATTTTGACTATTACACTTGTCAATGATACAGGTCTATAATTAAGGGGGGTCTTCCCTGCTTCCACCTTTGTAGATTAAGGCTAAATTAATTTGTATCTAGATTAATTTGTAGAAAAGGCTATGTTAGCCTTTTAGTAGTGTGGTAGTGATGGTGTTGGTGAGTAGTGTGGTAGTGATGGTGTTGGTGAGTAGTGTGGTAGTGATGATGATGGTGAGTAGTGTGGTAGTGAGGATGGTGAGTAGTGTGGTAGTGATGATGGTGAGTACCACACTACTCATCATCATCACTACCACACTAGTGATGAATAGTGTGGTAGTGATGGTGAGTAGTGTGGTAGTGATGAGGGAGAGTAGTTTTGAGTCTAAGCCGCCTCACTGTCTGGCCTGTTGCCGCCGTGAGGGGGCTTGGTGGGCAGCTGCCGGAGTGTGATGCTCCATGGGTCAGTCCTCTGTCCTTTGGCAGCCTTATGCTCCTGCTGCTGCCTTTACCAATTTTGCCAGACCCCTTTTCCTTTTCCTCGTGTTTCCTTTTTCTCCCCCGTCTTCTATCAAATTGTCATTTCCTGCCGACCTTTTGCCTGTTTGGATTATTCTTTCGACCTTCTTTTGTTTTGACGCCCGGGTCTTTGAGGAGGCCTACTCTTAAACCCGTAGAACTGTAGTACCCAACGTTTCGAGCGAGGGGAACCTTTTATTGTCAATCCTCCTTACGTCACTGAACCCGCTCTCGACGGACTCACGGTTCTTAAGGTGGTGTTTGTGGGGCGTATACTCATGACGCACCCCTGGGGGGCCCCGCAAGATCGGCGATAGGTTCTTGTTGGGTGTCCTGCCTCTAATTGTGGCTCTGTGGTGGGTGTGGGGGCACATTCGTGAATGAAAGTTTTTCCTCGTTTTCATGGCTGATAATGTTTCCCTTGTACCTTCTCAGGCTTGTGGGGTGGACGACCAAGCCCCCGAGTCGGACTGTGTTGGAAGACCAGGCCCTGTAGCCCCGGCTGCATTGGGCCCCAACTACCTGACTACTCCCCTCAGCTTCCCTCCCTCCTCTGCGGTAGGGTCGAGTCCCCAGCCCCCAGTGGTGACCACTTCGTCCCCTGGCACGGCTTCGTCTCTCATTGTGACTACTGCGCCTTTTACCCCCCCCCCTCTCTCTCTGGGGGTTCTCAACGCCGTCCCCGCCATGGCCACACTCGCACAATCCCTTCCCATAATAATACAACACCTTGTTTGGTCCCGCTACGTGGGCTAAATACTTTGATCTCCACCATCTGGATTCTACTCCTCCTGACGATTTCTCCCTCCATAAACACCTTGTTGATTCAGTAGATGCCTCTGTTACTTTTAACTCCACCAGTTACGGTACGCGTGTCATCACTGCTCCTTCTCAGGATGCAGCTACTCGCTTAGCCGCTTTGTCCTGCATTGGAGAGACCCCTGTTCGGGTCTCCAAAAACACTCAGTTAAATGCCAGTGTTGGCACTGTTCTCCTCCCACACCATGTTGCAACTGGTGTTCGGGACCTCAAAGATTGCCATGAGGATATTAAACATATCCTCGAAGCCCAAGGCCATTCTGTCCTCCAGGTGGACGTGTTTACTCGACCCCCTCGTGGTCGTCGCCGTCAGCCCCTTCGAGTTGCAAAATCACCTTTGATAGTAGGGCCCTTCTGCCCTCTATTATTCTTGCTGGTGCCAGATGCTCCGTTCAGGAGTACATTCCCTCTCCTAGACTTTGCAATAAGTGTTGGAAGTTCAGGCACGGTGTCCTCAAATGCACCAGTACTGTGTATCTGTGCCCCTTGTGTGGGGACGATAGTCATTCTAAGTCAGAGTGCACTTCTCTCCAGGCTCGCTGCCTCAATTGCGGTGAAGCCCACCCTACCTTCTCACGCTCGTGTATGCACTACAAACTCGAGGAAGCCGTCCTCAACTTAAAGCACCGTGATCGTCTGTCTTTTCCTGAAGCGAGACGCCAAGTTCGTCGTCTCGCCCCTTTCGCGGGTGTCTCCTACGCTCGCATGTTGCGTTCTACCTCTCCTCGTCCTTCCCATCTTCCTCAGTCTCATAACCGTTTCCAGGCCTTCAACCCGACCACACCCACCACCACCTCCCCTATTCCTTTGCCTCCTGTCCCGGATAGTCTTCCTCCCGGTTCTCCATCTGGGGTTTCCCCCCTTCCTACCCAGTCCACCATATCTCCTTTGTCTTCTTCCCCATCTCCCCTCACTCTTTCTTCCCGACCCTCCCCCCAGTCTCTTGACCCTCCACGCCACTTGTCTGTCCAGGCTGATATCCATCATCCTCCCAGCAATCTTCGTGTTGTTCGTTCCCGCTCCTCTTCTCCCGTTGAGACCACTGAGTCTGTCGCCCGGTACATTGTTACTGGAATGCCTGTCTCTTCGAGTCAGAAACGTAAGCCTGGCTCCTCTCCTTCCTCTCCAGCGGGTAAGAAGGTTTTGCTTTCTTCCTCACCCCCTCCCTCTGACTCTGTCACTACATCCCCTCCCATTTCAGTGGTCGAACCCCCTGTCCCAGATATGGAGGTTTCTTTCACCCCAATTCCCTCTCGGTTGCTGCCCTTGCTGAGGTG